TTTACTTGAAAGCGATTTGAAGTCACTATTATTTGAGTAAGACATTGAAATTGTATAAATTAGTAGCATCACAGATAACTTTGTTCTAAAAGTACATTGTTTCGTGTTACTCAGAAGTAGAAATGTAATTAATATTCGAATATTTTGATGAATTTCCTCACAAAATATCTCTGTTAATATTATTTTACCAAAAATGGCAATGTAGAATTTTAATTTAATTTTATTATAATATTTATTGTAACTTACAATTTCAGGGTATATTTTGAAATAATTAAAAATGCATTGTAGAATTGATCAAAATATTCCAAAGGTAGTTTCTTTCTAAAATTTTCATAATTTTCTCTTTGAAACCAAGGTTCTAGCGGAACAAGATGGTAAATCTGCACTCGGCTAGATTGTTATTAGGGATTAAGTACTCAAAAGTACATATTTAACCCTAGAGTACTAACGTACGTACTTATTTTAATCTGACAGTTACTTAAAGAAAACTAAACGTGGCAATGTTTAGCCGCGTGGGCTATGCTAACCTCACTTCATGATCAATAAAACAAATGAATACTCGCTTTGATTTTAGTTTGGGTTAGGCTTTCACCGTAGTAGTTATAACACTCTATACGTAAAAGACACGTGTGGTTAGTATCCGCGTAAAAAGTTTTGTAGGTAATTGTGACGTGTTGTTATTATTAACGTATAAACAAGATGTCTGTAAAATCAAATGTTAATCTAAAGCGTCCTCTTACTAAGAAAGAATTGGAGGAAATTACAAATAATGACTTCAGTAATTTAAGTGATACAGAAGATGATCTAGAAAAGGTAGAAAACCTATTTGACAGCGACGATAGTATTGAAGATAGAGACTATGGTCCTACACAGGACGAAGAAAATGTCTTCACAAAACTAGCTAACACCTGGGCAGATACACCAGCAGAAACTCACAAAGAAACAAGAAATACATGCTCTCGTAAAAGAATTAAAATTACGCAGCAGCCGTCACCAAAATCAACATATACGGATAACCATATTGAACAAAAATCGTCTGTTGTAATATGGGATAAACAGTCTTTAGTAGGTAAAAACGGTTATGAGTGGAGTAATTATACCAATAAATGATGGAGGTCGTAAAGTCGCATCCAGAAATATTTATAGATGTTTTTAATTTGTTTTTTACAGATCAGATTCTGGACGAAGTTTTGCTACGTACAAACAAAAAATTGCAGAGTTACGAGAGAAGTACCAGACAAAAAAAGACCCTGTTTTAGAAATGACATTGTCTGAACTGAATACACTGTAAGGTTTGTTATTTTTTCCTGCGGCTTTAAAAAATAATCACCTCTCAGCTGACGTTTTGTTTGATAGCACTTATTGTGACCATAGATATAAAGCACCGATAAGTAAAGAAAGCTTTAACTTTTTGATCAATTCTTTACGATTTGATAACTTCCTGACAAGAGAAGAGCATAAAAAAGAAAGTAGTTTTGCTCTAATATCTAAAATTTGGAACTAGTTTATTAGAAACTATGTTAAAAATTATAAAACTAGTTCATATGACAATCGATGAACAACTCCTAGGATTTCGTGGCAGTTGTCCATTTCGTATGTAAATGCAACACCGTATCTGGGTAAATCTATTGTAACCAACGGCATTCCTTTAACAGAACATTTTGTCACAAGCCTGAACGGTCCCCATTTTGAGACCTTTATATGGAAGTAGACGTAATGTGACAATGAATATCTAGTTTTCCAATATCCCTCTTGCGAATAAATTATTATCTTCCTCTTACAATTTGACAATGATCGAAACACTCGGAAAAATAAAGGAGAAATACCTCCTGAATTGCTCGATAACAATATTTGGAAGTGCGGTTCAAATATGTTTGTGTATGATAAAAACATGACTTTATTATCTTATCAACCTAAGCAAAGTAAGACAGTTCTTCTACTTTCAATTATGCATTTTTCTGGAAACATTATATAATTCAACTAAAAGAGCTGAAGATACGTTTGACCAAATGTCTCAGAACATTTGCTGCAATAGGAAGACTAGAAGGTGGTTGCTATGCATATTTTATAATATAATGAATATTGCAGGAGTAAACCCTATTGCAATCTACCATCACAATGCAACTAAAAACAAACAGGAGCCATTATCAAAATTAAATTTTATGCTGAAACTTCATGAACAATTAACGAAGCCGTGGCAACAAGTAAAACTGCAGACAGTACTTTAACTTTATCAAAAAGTCTCAAAGAGAGTTTTTCTATGCTGTTGAATTTAACGCATATTGCTGAAGACCGCCGAGGTCTCCAAAGGTAAGGAAAACGGACTTTCTGTAGTTAATGCTCTACAACAAAGAAACGAATGACAACTACCAAATGTTACAAGTGTGGGAGTGCCTTGTGTGGAGGGCATCAAATAAAAATGTGTATGAAATGTGTACATCAATAGAAGGTTATCGTTTCTATATTTGTAATGTTTATTATATGCACAAGTTTATCGTGTACATATTATTACAAGATTCTGATCTGTGTCAAAAGTATCTCTTTTATGTAGTTTATGTTTAGATTATTAATATTTCAATGTTTTTTATTTGTATCGTTCCTAAATAAACTTCTCTTGAAATTAAACCATTTCGTTTTAATTAAAATATGAAAAAAAAAAAAAACAAATACTAGACATAAATCATTGAGTACGTCAAATTTACGTATAGTTATCATTTACGTATGTTAAATAAACGTTAGTATTCTAGAGTTAAAAACTATTTTAGCCAAATTTTTGGCTCCCCATATATTTTAATCGTTATTTATGATAATTTACAGTCGTTGAGTGCGCCAAATGTAGGCAACTTTCAGCTGTTGATTCAGAAAATTGTTAGATGATAGACGAACAGCACATTGGGTACTCAAGCTGCCATTAGATGTTTAAAGGAAACTAAATGCAATATGTAACATTGAAAAGGAAGTGTAATGGTTGCAGTGATGCAAACGAGTTCAGTTATTATTTGAGATAAATGTACCATGGCTTATAAAGATTCACTCCAAGCATTATATAGAAGTATGCAAGATTTAAACGGCAACGACAAATATTCGGTGATTCTCTATTACTACTGTGTGGTAGCTTTCGACAGACATTACCGGTTATTCAACTTTTTACATATTTTAATGAGATTAGGGCACGTTTAATACAATCGTTTTTATGGCGAAATGTCGAAACAGTTCCATTTATAATAATTAATACCTAATATTAATACGAGTACAAGTGCAAAATAATCTATCAGCGCAAACATTTTCCAAACATTTGCTAAATATTGACAACGGTAAAATAAAACTCAATTAGAGCATTAAAATCTATGATCGTAAATTTTTTCAAATTTTTTTGAAGCAAAGGATCGCCTAAAAAATTTTGTTTTAGAAAAAAAAACATTGTTTACGATAGGGGACCAACTAGAGAGTTGAACATTTGCCTAAAGCTTCTAAATACATACCTTCGAGTACCTAAGCTCAAATAAAAATCCTGTCGACTGCTGATTTTACTATCTTATTCCGCTACAATCATTGCACTAGATGTATCCTTAATAATTAGCTTAATATTACATTAACACTTGGCTCACAAAGAAAGTTGAAGATATATTAAGATTGAGATGTAAGAACATAGGATTTTATAAAATTAATAGTTAAATAATAATTTCCTTGAAATTAAATCCAATGATATTTTCTCATGATACAACACTTATAACACTGCGAATTTTGTAAATATAATTATAAATTTAATAACTTACTTAACAAAGGATTTACATTTATAATATACCTAAAGCTCACACACCGATCTAATACAATTTCGAATAAGGAAATTGCATCAAACATGCAAAAGATTTATGAGTTTTATTTGTGCAATTTTAATAATGGTTGTGTTTGATGTTTTCATTAAGAATAATTCATTTTATGTCATATTCGGTTACAGTTAGTAAATATTCTAGTTACCTACTCATTATTTCCAAAACAGCTGCCAAGTTATGAAGACAAAACAAAGGATAATTGTGGAACAGTAAAGTGAACATCACTTTGTGTTTGCTTGTTTTGTTTTGACATTTATATACTGTAGGTACTACATATTTATATTATATATATATATATATATATATATATATATATATATATATATATATATTTATATATATATATTTTAGTGGATTCTCTTGAAATTTTAGTTTAATACTAAGACATTTTTATATATATTTTTTTCGACGTTTCGGCAGGAAATCCATGACTTTTTCAAGAATATATATTGACTAAAAAAAAAACATTCTATGACAGACATAATATGGTTTAAAAAATAAACTTTTGACTTACCAAGCATGTAAAGATTTGGTGTTAACAATTAGACGTCACAATTAAAATAATATTAAAACATAGGACATACCCACTAAGTCACTAAAAGTAAAATGTATTTTAAATCTAATGTGTTGTTTATTGATGTTAGCTTATTGTTTAAACAATCAGTTATTTTAACATCATAGGCGTTCTAAAATTGACTTATGTATATTTAAATTAAGTTAAAATATATTTTGTTCAAATTTTTGACATCTTTTTTATCATTTATTGCGTTATTATTTTTTTTATTTGTATAGACTCTAGAAGCTCTCTCTTCTTCCTGTTGGGTTCACTTTTTAGGATCTTGGTTTGCTCAAAATCAAATTTATGTTTTTTTTCGTTTTCATGTTTTGTGAGGGCGGTTGAGTTTTTTTTGTCATATTTGTGGGAACGTATTCTTGAATTAAGTAGTTGACTGGTTTGTCCAATATAAACTCCATCACAATTCGAGCAGGGAATTTCATATACAACATGTGATGTGTTTAATAGAGAGGTTTTAGTTTTCAATCTTGTAAAATTCCTTTTCAAAAGATTGTGACCTTTATGAGCAACCGTAATATTATGTTTAGACAGAAGATTTGCTATTTGTTCTGATAATCCTTTTATATAGGGGAGAGACATATAGTTTTTCTTTACCGTGTTGGTTTTATTATTATTATTGTTATTGTAAAATTTATGCAGTCACGATTTGAAAGTTTTGTCGATAAGGTGGTGTGGGTATGAATTAAGTGTAAGTGCTGTTTTTGCTTTTTTAATGGCCTGAGGTCTATTGATAGGATCGGATAATCTAATAGCTTTATCAGCGAGTCCGATAACTACTGATTTCTTTTGAGACAGGGTATGATGAGAGTTGAAATTTAGATATCTCGACGACCAGATTTTTTTGGTGTACCATGAAGTAGTTACAGTGCTGTTTTCTTTATGCAAGGTCAGGTCCAAAAAATTAATTTGATTATTTTTTTCAATTTCTAATGTGAATTTTATTTTTTTATTTTTTTCAATTTCTAATGTGAATTTTAGTTTTTGGTGAAAGTTATTGAATTCATTTAGTAAATTATCCATTTTATCCTCTGGTGCTGCACTCAAGCAGTCATCTATATAGCGATAGAAAAAAGGTATATCAAAATCTATTTTATTTAAAACAATTTCTTCTAGATGCTCTAAAACTAATTGAGCGATGGCACTTGATATGCTAGCACTTATATACGTCCATGGCTAGCACCCATAGCACATCCATCTGTTTGTTGGAAGATTTTGTTTTTATATTGGAAATAGGTTAACTTTAATGTTGTTTCGACTGCTAGCAGAAATTCTTCTAGAGGGATGTCTGTGAACGCTTTGATTTCGTTCCACTTTTTTTAATTATGTCTTTCGCTAAAGCTATTTTAATATTGGTGTATAAATTGTGTGTTGATGCGCAGGGATGCGCATCAACACACAAGATGAAAAATCATAAATAAAATTTAGTCTGTATTATCTTACATATATTTTTTTTATTCCACAGAATTAAATAAATTAAATATTAAAAAACATCTAGAATATCATATGATGAAAAAAATTAAAATCAGAAGGGGTGTGTGTTTTCACCATTCCTGTTTAATGCATAATCTGAAAATATATTTGGAATAGTACTTATACGAAAGAGCTAAATCTAAACATTACTGATCTTCAAAGAATCTTGGATGAGGTTGTGGCAACAAATGTAAGTCAATAAATATAATGAAGACTAAGTTTACGGTAACTGAAAAGAAATACATTCCATATATTGATCTCCGTGTAACGAACAAAGAGCTATTTGGGGACACAGCTATATATCTATTTGGGGACAAACAAAAATGGAAAAGATGACTAAAGTTAAAATTACGAATTCTGTGGTATTATTTCTTTCCGGTTCTTTATGGTAGAGAGTGATGGCTTATGAAAGTAATTGATCCTTAATAAACTTTACCTGAATCAACTGGAAGCTTTTGAAATGTGAATTTACCGAATAATTTTAAAAATATCTTAAAGAGAGAGTGACCAATGAATAAATTCATAATGCAAGGCAACATTAAAGTAAATGCAGTATAGGACGAAGAAGAATGTCTTCACATATAGGGATAGCAATGATGATTTTCAACGTACGTGAAGAAAAAAAAGCAATGAAGGTCGCCATTACAATTGACAACCAAAGAAAATAATATGTGACCGAGTTACTTTAATTAATTTTAGGATTATAATCTATTTATAACTATAAAATTACCTATATACATAATTTCAGTTAAAGTAAAAGAAGCTTTCATCTACACACTTTAAAGTTTTGCATCCATTCAAGTGCCTGAATACTCTTAATTACTTTAAGAACCTCACATAATAGCCTGTAATTTTACATTAAATAACCTTTGTACTTTAACTACCTAAAGCAACTATTCAGAGTTTCAAGCTTCAATGGGCATTAATTGCCAAGGGGATCTATACAAGCAGGTAACATAAACTTTATAATTAAGAAGAAAATTCAAATGCAACACTAGTTTAAGCTAGAGACGGCAATATACTGGTATAAAACGATGGCTGGTGCTTAGAGACGTCGTAGAATCCCATCATAATCCTCGTATAAATTTGATAGCTTAAATTTATGCCTTATAAAAGGTTTTGACATACGAGTAGATGTGAAACTTGCAATTTTTACTTTTAAGTCGCAAAATTAATAACGGTTATTAGAGGGAGGATATATACAATTTAATACAATTGTTATCCAAATTTAAGTTATAGAAATACAGAACAGCTTTCTGTATGGCCTTAAAGACATGTTCACTAATTCTCAGTTCTTTTATGTTCTCTAGAATGTTATAAGTAGAAAGTAAGCCTCTTTGGTCCACTCCGATCGTTGATGACCTGATCAAGACCTGCATAGGATCTGTTCGAGACCTGATCAAGACCTAAACGGCTTTCACATACTTTGGGACTTTGGCATAGACAGATGCTTTTGGTTTTTCCTCTTTGAGCTCTAGTTTATAGATCTGCTAATTACACTGTCCAGCTATGGAGACCTGGGCAAAGAAGTGAGAGATCAAGTACAAAAAGCAAATAGACTAGTAGAATGCCTTAATAACACTATAAGGCGAAATAGACAAACTAACACAGATAAAATCAAGAATTTCTAAAGCCAGTGTAAGACCAATAATGACATATGCCTCAGGAACAAGACCTGACACAAACACAACATAAAGGCTAGTGGAAGTCCAGATATGAGAATACTGAGAAGACTAACAGGAAATACACTGGGAGATTGAAAGAGAAGTGAAGATATTAGAAGAAAATGTTACGTACAGTATATAAATAAATGGACACTAAATAGGAAAAAAGAATATAATAACCACATAAGCAGAATAAGGAAGACCCGTTCCGTTAAAATAGCAAGATATAAGTCACTAATCGGCAGAAGTATTTAACAACCGCGCAAAAGATGGAGTAACAACCTTCCGTAGAGGTATTAATCCGCCAATGAACAAGCCGAATTGTTTATAAAGAGGAAGAAGAAGAAGAAGAAGAAAAAAATTCTAGATACCGCAGCCTTGTAAGGCTTTTACAATAGTATAAGACGAGCATACCTGTTTCCTACTCTTCTTGACAGATACCGCCAAGACCATACTACCCAAATGCTTATTAAGCTTACAATGTCCAGTCAGGAGACACACTGTGATGAGAATTTAAAACTAATTAAACATGAAAGATTTATAAAAAATCCCAAAAGAATACTTATTATAAATTACGTAAGTTTTTACCAATTTTTATTAGGACAATTAGGAACTAAAGCTCAGAGCACAGCTAGTGAATAATACATGTGCGTCTTGTTTCATAATATTTTTGTTACAAATCTAGCGTTAAAAACTCAGCATTATTACAATAACATTATTGTTGGTCTAATAACTGATATTGTTATAAATATAGGAAACACACCGGCAAGTAAGTTCAGAATATTATTTCTTATTAGTAAATCATAAAAGTTCATTTATTCGAGATATAATAATTATAGTTACTCGTAAGCTGTTATTATTATTAGGTAATGTCATCGATACGCCACTATTCCGTGTACATAAGTAACCAATAAATGAGATACATTAGAGTTTAATATATTAACCAACCTCTCCCAAATCAAGATATAGTTCCGCAAGTAATATCGACAAGAGGTGTATAAAGAATATGTATCCAAATATTTATATTCCATCAATTATTTATTTTATACCACTATTATCCTTACAACCTTTTGATTGTTTGTCAGTTAGTCAGCGAATTTGGTTGACTGACTCCTTTAACTAACTCTATAGCATGTCATTGTTTTGCTTCATTTTTCCACCATTCGAAATACTTTTATTGCACTAATTTATCAATGGCTACATTTTTTTGTATGTTTAGAACCCTTATAAAATACTTCGGACCAATTAATGGCTCACAAGTGTCTTCTGGAGCCAGTTTTTCAACCTACTCATTGCCTACATAGCCTTTGTGCTCCTTCTCATTGCCTCCGCATAAGGCTGGTGTCAGTCCATTGCGGCTTTTAACCTGAGAGGGTAACCAAACCTGGCTTTGACTCAATCTGCATAGAACTGGAGATCTTTTAGAACTATAAGTGGATTATGATTTAGTTATTCTCCACTTGCCAACATATTAGTTTCATAGCACACCTTTGTATAGTTAAAGTTATGCCTAAAATATGGTGACATATACTCTCAAGCTTAACTAGATTTATGTACTTGGTTTTATGTTGTATATATAAGCCCCTATTTCTTTGCCCCTAAACTTTGATTACTGGCAAATTTGTTTCCCAGTCTTCACTCTTTGTTACGATAATAAGAATAAAATAATATGTAAATAGAAAACCCTTTATTTACGAAAACATCTTTCCTGCTGTCAACTCCTAGTTCGGCTCTGTATTGGATCTTCTTCTTTTTCAGATGCAAATCCACTAATGGATGTTAGCGATCACATTTTCCATTAATTCTCTATTTCTTGCAATATGTATCAGATATTGTATGTCGTTAATCCCTGTCCATTGCCTTATGTTTCAGAGCCAGAATATTTTCTTGCATCCCATTCCTCTCTTGCCTTCAATTTTACCCTCGATTATAAGTTGGAGGAACTGATATTTTTCATTTCGCATGATGTGACCTAGATACGCCGTTTTCCTTTTCTTGATGGTTTCGAAAAGTTGGCGTTCTTGGTTTATTCTTTTAAAGACATCTATATTTGTGATTTTCGCTGTCCATGGTATTTTCAGGATACGGCGATAAAGCCACATTTCAAAAGCTTTTAATTTGTTTATATCTCTCGTTTTGATTGTCCAGCCCTCTACGCCATATAGCAGCACTAACCATACGTAGCACTTAGTAAACCTTAGTCTCAGTTGAAGATCGTACTCTGAACAAGTCAGTACCTTCTTGAATTTTACGAAAGCTTGTCGAGCTTGCTCAATGCGACATTTTACTTTCCTGTCTGATGCCCAGTCTTCAAAAGGCCACGATCCCAGGTATTTTAATTTACTCACTCTTTCAATGGATTTAGTATTCAGTGTTATGGTGGAGTTTTCAAGTGCAGCCAAGTTTCTGGAGATGATCATGAATTTGGTCTTTTTGGTATTAATCTCTAATCCCATTCGCTTACTGTATTCTCCGATTATAGTGACAAGTTGTTGAAGATCGACTATGTTGTCAGAAAGTAAGACACCATCATCAGCATATCGTATGTTGTTGATCAATACTCCATTCACCTTGATTCCCATCTCTGCATCCTCCAAAGACTCTTGAAATATGGCTTCCGAATAAATGTTAAATAAAAGAGAGGAAAGCACACATCCCTGTCGAACGCCTCTTCTTATATGTATGGGTTTGGATATAGAATTGTCTATTTTTAACTGTGCCATTTGATGCCAGTACAAGTTTTTAATGCATCTTATGTCTTTTTGGTCTATATCAACTTTCTTGAGAATCTTCATTAACTTGTGGTGTTGGACACGATCAAACGCTTTTTGGTAATCTAAAAAGCATAGGAACACATCCTTCCTCTGATCGTAACAATTTTGGACCAGCACCTGTGTTGCTACTATTGCTTCTACTACTACTACTACCACCAAGTAGAAACTGGCGAGCCAGTGAGTCTGGCGCCAGCTACTGGATACGTGTAAACGTGCCTATCCAGCGCTGTCCTAGTCAAGCACTGTGTAAACC